ATCGATAGTAATCATCGATAAAGGTGATGAAATATTTTTGACCATGTGAGTCCAAGTCTGGACTACATATATTAGTATATATGATTTCTAATATGTCCGAACTCCTATTGGCACATTTCTTGGACTTGTTGTCTGCTTTCCCTTAATCCAGTCCACGCATGTATTAAAATCAGTGAAATCTAGAGTACTAAGTACCCCATCATTTACTAATCTTTTGATTCTATCTATAGAGATATGTCCTAATCTCCGATGCCACAAAATAGATGAGTCTTCATTAATATTACATCATTTAGTGCTAGTATGAACATGCATTGAACTATAAATGATATTGTTTTGTAAATTAATACGATAAAGACAATNCAAAGTACCATTCCCAACACAATCAAAATTATATAATAAACTGAAGGACATGTTTGAAAAATTGAAAGAATATCCCAATGGTATAAGTCTGCAAATAGAAATCAAGTTTCGTGAAAAACTTGGAACATAAAAGGTCTTGTCTAATTCCAAAACAAAGTCACTACTTAAAGTTAAAATGCACGTTCCTATATCCTCCACATGTAAGCCAATTTTGTTTCCAGATAAGATATTTTGCTCACTTCCCACTGGCTTCCTTAGATTTTGCATACCCTGCAAGGAGTTTGCAACATGAATTGTAGATCCAGAGTTAATCCACCAAATGTTAGTATTTACATTAATCATATTAGATTCATAACAGACAAATGAGGTTAGATTACCTTTATCTTCAAGCCATTTCTTAAATTTGGCGCAATCTTTCTTCATGTGTCCCTTCTTTTTACAGAAGTAACACTTGGCTTCTTTCTTAATATCAGCTTGGGGTAGGATTTTACCTTTCCCTTTCTGATTGGCTTGAGCCTTCCCCTTCCCACGGGTTGTAGTCAACACTACACTTTCACCTCATTTTTTCTTGAACACAAGTAGTCATTAATTCATTAATTGACCATTTATCCTTATGTGTGTTGTACGAGATTTTGAAAGGTTCGTACTCTTGTGGGAGACTATTCAAGATGTAGTGCACAAGGAAGAAATCAGACATCTCAAACTCAAGTTAAGTCGTAATATCTCTCAACTGCATGATGTGCTTGCGCATACCTTTTACACTGGTAAGCTTTAAGGATGAAAACTTAATTATAAGGGTGCTTGCTAATGCCTTATCTGAAGTGACAAATTGATCATCAGTGACTTTTATCAAGTATTGGACTTTGTCATGTTGATCGACAAAACCACGTATACCAGCAGAAATTT